TGTGGCTGAAGAAATACTTCCTAACATCCCTGTGATTCATCTGTGTCTTCAGCTTCCAACTGTGTCCCCTTGTTACTGTGTCCCATCTCTGAAACATCCTGTCTTTGTCCACCTTGTCAATTCCTCTCAGTATTTTGTATGTCGTTATCATGTCCCCCCTATCTCTCCTGTCCTCCAGTGTCGTCAGGTTGATTTCCCTTAACCTCTCCTCGTAGGACATACCTCTTAGCTCTGGGACTAGTCTTGTTGCAAACCTTTGCACTTTCTCTAGTTTCTTTACGTGCTTGGCTAGGTGTGGGTTCCAAACTGGTGCCGCATACTCCAATATGGGCCTAACATACACGGTGTACAGGGTCCTGAATGATTCCTTATTAAGATGTCGGAATGCTGTTCTGAGGTTTGCTAGGCGCCCATATGCTGCAGCAGTTATTTGGTTGATGTGCGCTTCAGGAGATGTGCCTGGTGTTATACTCACCCCAAGATCTTTTTCCATGAGTGAGGTTTGTAGTCTCTGGCCCCCTAGACTGTACTCCGTATGCGGTCTTCTTTGCCCTTCCCCAATCTTCATGACTTTGCACTTGGTGGGATTGAACTCCAGGAGCCAATTGCTGGACCAGGTCTGCAGCCTGTCCAGATCCCTTTGTAGTTCTGCCTGGTCTTCGATCGAGTGAATTCTTCTCATCAACTTCACGTCATCTGCAAACAGGGACACCTCAGAGTCTATTCCTTCCGTCATGTCGTTCACAAATACCAGAAACAGCACTGGTCCTAGGACTGACCCCTGTGGGACCCCGCTGGTCACAGGTGCCCATTCTGTGTGGGCACCACTCTGTGTGTGTGTGTGTGTGTGTGTGTGTGTGTGTGTGTGTGTGTATGTGTGTGCGCGCGCGCCCGCGTTTGTGATTGTGAGAACGAGTCTCTAGCTGGGCTGGCGGCACAGTGGCGCCGCCAAACCATGTCAACATCCACCATCAAACACCAGCTGTCAACATCCACCATCAACACCAGCTGTCAACATCCACCATCAACACCAGCTGTCAACATCCACCATCAACACCAGCTGTCAACATCCACCATCAACACCAACTGTCAACATCCACCATCAACACCAGCTGTCAACATCCACCATCAACACCAGCTGTCAACATCCATCAACACCAGCTGTCAGCATCCACCATCAACACCAGCTGTCAACATCTACCATCAACACCAGCTGTCAACATCCACCATCAACACCAGCTGTCAGCATCCACCATCAACACCAGCTGTCAGTATCCATCAACACCAGCTGTCAGCATCCACCATCAGCACCAGCTGTCAGCATCCACCATCAACACTAGGTATCAACATGTACCATGAACAACAAGCGATACAAGCAACATGTCGATGAGGCAGAGAGAGAGAGAGAGAGAGAGAGAGAGAGAGAGAGAGAGAGAGAGAGAGAGAGAGAGAGAGAGAGAGAGAGAGAGATTATTATTATTACAATCAAGGGGGAAGCGCTAAACCCGGAGGATTATACAGCGCCTGGGGGGGTATGTGGAAGGCATTCAGGCTTAATTTGGGGAACTGGAGCATAGATCCAATTCCCTAAATCAAGAGCCCCTCACCAACATCAAGGAACCTTCCTTGAGGGGAGAGAGAGAGAGAGAGAGAGAGAGAGAGAGAGAGAGAGAGAGGATGCTCTCAGACAATAACAATCGCCTGCCGGCAAGGTGAATGTAATTGACCACGTCGCTTCTGTCATTCATGCAGACACACCGCCTATAGTATACATGGCACGCAGCAAGTATTGCAACTCTCCGCAACCCAGCGAATTCAAATCGCCAAGTATGAGAATGTTGGCGACCTCTCTCAGGTCATAACTCAGCCATGTCTCTCCTGTTATGTCCCTGAGGCCATCTCACACTTCGCTTCTCAAACATCCCGTGGGCAATTTTCCCTGTTGACACTGCAGCTAACGCGCATGTAGTGTTAGCGGAAGTAATTAAATATTACTGGGTTTGTTGTATCTGAGGGGGAACGAGGTGGTGAGATGTGGCAACCAGTGTCTTCCTCATACCGGCCAGCGTTGCCACGTCTCCACCACACATACTCAACACACCCTCAACACCTACATAATTACTCCCACGACCCAGTTTATAGTAATTTATAGTAATTTAGTGAGATAATTGTGTCCCCCACCTAATACATGATCATTACAACAGACAAATGATGAGGGGAAACTGAAGAACATGTGTGTGGAATTAGTGGGTCGCATTACGATTGCAGAACATGATAGGTGGAAGTGACGGCGTCCCTTGCTTAAGGTGACACTACAGAACGACACGCAAAATATTTAATTCACAATTTTCCCCCCTCACACCTAAGCATTCATATCACACTCATTTATTTCCATGAACCTACAAGAGTGTGGCAGTGTCCTCGTGCGGAGAGTGTTCATTTAGTTGACAGATGGTCATGTCAGTTTGTGCTTGTCCATCACAAGTCAACTTACCCGCCATCTTATAGTAATACTGTAAATACTCACCTCCTCTATCATTTTAATTCTAAAACGATACATGTAATAGTACTCCTACTAATAAATATTACTTTATTTTGTTACTGACAATTTATTATCATCATCAGTGTTGGGCCTGGTGGCTAAAACTCTCGCTTCAAACGGCGAAGGTCCGGGTTCAATTCTTGGGATCTTAATACAGGGGATTCTTCACTTGCCTAAACCTTTTGGCATGACCTACTTCCACATTGGTCAAATGTGACACCACCTTAACACAAGCCTATCCGATGTTATCCTGACGCCAAATGACTTCGAACAGGCGATAAATGACATGCTCATGCACTCTGCCCCAGGGCCAGACTCATGGAACTCCGTGTTCATCAAGAACTGCAAGAAGCCCCTATCACGAGCCTTTTCCATCCTATGGAGAGGGAGCATGGACACGGGGGTCGTCCCACAGTTACTAAAAACAACAGACATAGCCCCACTCCACAAAGGGGGCAGTAAAGCAACAGCAAAGAACTACAGACCGATAGCACTAACATCCCATATCATAAAAATCTTTGAAAGGGTCCTAAGAAGCAAGATCACCACCCATCTAGAAACCCATCAGTTACACAACCCAGGGCAACATGGGTTTAGAACAGGTCGCTCCTGTCTGTCTCAACTATTGGATCACTACGACAAGGTCCTAAATGCACTAGAAGACAAAAAGAATGCAGATGTAATAGATACAGACTTTTCAAAAGCCTTCGACAAGTGTGACCATGGCGTAATAGCGCACAAAATGCGTGCTAAAGGAATAACAGGAAAAGTCGGTCGATGGATCTATAATTTCCTCACTAACAGAACACAGAGAGTAGTCGTCAACAGAGTAAAGTCCGAGGCTGCTACGGTGAAAAGCTCTGTTCCACAAGGCACAGTACTCGCTCCCATCTTGTTCCTCATCCTCATATCCGACATAGACAAGGATGTCAGCCACAGCACCGTGTCTTCCTTTGCAGATGACACCCGAATCTGCATGACAGTGTCTTCCATTGCAGACACTGCAAGGCTCCAGGCGGACATCAACCAAATCTTTCAGTGGTCTGCAGAAAACAATATGAAGTTCAACGATGAGAAATTTCAATTACTCAGATATGGTAAACACGAGGAAATTAAATCTTCATCAGAGTACAAAACAAATTCTGGCCACAAAATAGAGCGAAACACCAACGTCAAAGACCTGGGAGTGATCATGTCGGAGGATCTCACCTTCAAGGACCATAACATTGTATCAATCGCATCTGCTAGAAAAATGACAGGATGGATAATGAGAACCTTCAAAACTAGGGAGGCCAAGCCCATGATGACACTCTTCAGGTCACTTGTTCTATCTAGGCTGGAATATTGCTGCACACTAACAGCACCTTTCAAGGGAGGTGAAATTGCTGACCTAGAAAATGTACAGAGAACCTTCACGGCGCGCATAACGGAGATAAAACACCTCAATTACTGGGAGCGCTTGAGGTTCCTAAACCTGTATTCCCTGGAACGCAGGCGGGAGAGATACATGATTATATACACCTGGAAAATCCTAGAGGGACTAGTACCGAACTTGCACACGAAAATCACTCACTACGAAAGCAGAAGACTTGGCAGACGATGCAACATCCCCCCAATGAAAAGCAGGGGTGTCACTAGCACGTTAAGAGACCATACAATAAGTGTCAGGGGCCCGAGACTGTTCAACTGCCTTCCAGCATACATAAGGGGGATTACCAACAGACCCCTGGCAGTCTTCAAGCTGGCACTGGACAAGCACCTAAAGTTGGTTCCTGACCAGCCGGGCTGTGGCTCGTACGTTGGTTTGCGTGCAGCCAGCAGCAACAGCCTGGCTGATCAGGCTCTGATCCACCAGGAGGCCTGGTCACAGACCGGGCCGCGGGGGCGTTGACCCCCGGAACTCTCTCCAGGTAAACCTACGACTGCTGCACCTCTCCTGCCTATGGTATATAAGCCACTTCTTCGCACATATGCTGTATTCTTTTCAAGACTGATGGACTGATTACATCGACTCAAGGCTGAGGGACTGATTACCTCGAGACTCCTCCTGTTCTTCACCAGTAATTTAATAATAAACAAACACAATGAAATATTTTTTTCGTTAGGTTCAGAATGATTTTTGCGAAATTATTGAATACACAAATTTTCGCTTGCCTTAATCGACAAGAAGAGCGTTGCTATTTAAGCCAGAACTGCAAGTTTTACCTATTCGGCACGATACACACACACATATATATAATCTCATAGATCATGGACAGTACTGGGGACGCCCCATACCAGGAGAAACATACCGGGAGAGAAATTTTTATCTAGGCCACATACATAATGTTAATTTTTACAATGGTTTTTACATACCAAATTATACAGAAGTGAACCAAGGAATACCAATGTGACTTATTCAATTGGGGTCCCAGTACGGGAGAGGTCATGGTCACCGTACCGGGATGGAGGTACTCACCAAGTACTGGTCGATGGGTTTGTCATAAACTCGCTGTATCTTGGTTGCGTTGAGGGCGTGAGCGATGTGCAGGGCAGTGCTGTCGAAGCGACCGTACTTGTAGTCGCTGAAGGAGGAGTTGTGACCGTTCTCAGAGCCGTTACCGCTACCGCTGCCCTGAAACAAGACCACACAACCACCGTCAGTCCTGGTAACAGGTTTCACACTGAGGGAGAGCAAGCAGGAAGAGAGGAGGGCAAGTAGGGTGAGAAAGAGGGAGGCAGGGAGGGCAAGCAGGATGGGAGAAAGGGAGGCAGGGAGGGCAAGCAGGATGGGAGAAAGGGAGGCATGGAAAGCAAGAAAGATGGAACAGAGGGAGACATGGTAGGCTAGAAGGATGAGAGATAGGTCAAACAATTATCGGAGAGCAGGCAGGGAAAGCAAGAGGGATGGGAGAAAGAGAAAAACAGAGAGAGCAAGAATGATGGGAGAGAGGGAGGAGAATTCAATTCAAAAAGCTTATTCTCTATAAGGATTACAATGCTGAGTTTACAATACGTTTAAGAGAGAGGAAGAAGTCTGGCTAAGATGGAATGGTAGAGAGGAAGAAGGGGAAAAAGATATGGGATGGGAGAATATAAAAGCTAGGGGAGTCAAGGAAGAATAGAGGGAAGTATTTAGGAAGAAAAAAGATAGAAGAATCAAGGAGTGAGAGAGGGGAAGGGGGAGGTTAGTTCTTAAGAGTGAGAGGAAATTTAAGGGTGGGAAGAAGGATGGATATAAGAAAGGATATACTTAGACAAATAGTCAAGAGAGATGCACTTAATGAGAAATATATATATATATATATATATATATATATATATATATATATATATATATATATATATATATATATATATATATATATATTATACATACATACATACTCTCTATGGAGAACCAGCAGGAATTTAGAGGAAAGGCTTGATCTCAGGAGACTTGCACTGTATTCTCATGCATTTGCACCACGCGAAAGCATTACTGCAGGAAGCATACTAAGTGGACGACTTCTCTACCATATGCAAGGCTGGCAGACGGAAGACCCTGATTTTTTTTCCTTGCATCGCTAAACCCGAGTGGGTCATTCAGTGAAAGGAAGGGTGGAGGCTCGATCCGGCATCCGCTGATGAATGATATCCTGAGACTGTCTCTCCAGTACCTGTTTGTAACCGTAATATCAGAAGTACTAATTCCCCGATACCTTCACACCCTAGTTCTATCAAAGTACTGCACACTCTTTGGAGACCACCTGGTGAATTTTCCAATGTGAACTGACCTCTAAGCCAGAAATTATGGAGGAGCCTTGGTTGATCACAGAGGTGAAGGTTCTGTGTGGAGATTCGGTGACCAGACTGTCTGGGACAGCTCTCAGGTTGTGTTTGAGGCCTTGAATCGTGGGGTTAGGAGACTGATCTTCTACAGTGATATACTAAGGACTCTGTTTTATAATGTAAGTGAATGTTCATTTAGGTTTAGTTTATCGTTTTCCCATTATCTCAATTGTCTTGTTTCCTTTCCCAGTTATCTTAGTATCAGATCCCGTTATCTTTGACCAAGTATATTGTTGTAGTAAGTATTAATAAACAGAAATAGTGTGAAAGTATAGTATTCACTTTCCCCATCTTTGTGTATAGACTGGTCTGTGTGTACTTAGTTAAGTGGAATAAAGTCTCCGATAGTGTATAGTGAGGTGAGATGATGTACTTGTTGAGAGTAAAAAAGAGCTCGTCTACCTAGCTCGCCCATGATACATCACGATACAGAAACTTAAAGACCCTGAAATCATACCCTGGTGTACGGAGACCTGAGAACGAGTGCCTCGCCGTCAAGGGAGGGTCGTCCTCCTGGTCGTATCTGGTCGTTGACGAACTGAGCAGAGCGGGGCACGTTAAGGGCGGACCTGATGCCCACCGCCTCCCCGTCCAGGTGCCCAGGGCCAGGCTTGGGCACATGGGACGAGCAGTACACTTCCTTGTCATCCTGAAACACAAGCAAACCCAAATATCATTAATATCCTAACACATACGGTCCAAATATATCAAGCACATTACACGACAACATTTGACATGTAAGACGTGTGGAAAACAAACATCTGATTAAATAAAAATAATGTAAAAATATATGCAAACAAAATCAAGATGGAAGACAATACATAGTAAAATGGAAATGAAACTTGGCGACGTTTTGGTCCGTCCTGGAACATTATCCATTCACGAGCCACAGGAAGAAATAGGAAGCAAGTCAGCGGTCAGGTCTAGGTACTGCGAAGTGAGGAGACAGGTAAGGTCAGGTCTAGGCGCTGCGAGGTGAGGAGACAGATAAGGTCAGGTCTAGGCACGTGTGTTCTGAACAGTGGATTGTGGAAAAGGACACTTGTGTACAGTTCAGGATATTTATTAAAGGAAACGTCTCTCCACGAGTGGTTTCATGAGTCCTAATACAGAGTAAGCTAAAACAGTGCAGGTGACCTGACGCAAAAGTAAGGCGAGGCGGGAGGATCGTCAAATTGCAAAAAAAAAAAAAAAAAAAAAAAAAAAAAAAAATATGTTGGACAAATATATAAGTGATAGGGGATATCAGCAGAACCTGTCTAGCGTAGTGTCAGCAAAACGAACACACTGAAGTTCTTAAAGTCTGTCGGAAAGGATTAGGCCAGGTTTCACCAGTGTATATAAAGTAAATGATAAGGTGGGGAGGGGAAGAAAATAAACAAATGAAGTGTCAGAGGAAGAAGTGTGAAGAAATATTGGCTCGAAGTACATTTATCTGACGAAATGCAAGTTTAATTTTCAGAGGACGAAGTGTGTTACAACGGGTTAATAAATTAAAAATATGGGAATGCAAAATGGAGGTGTCTTAATAGGAGCAGGTTTAGATGAAAAAAAAGTGATTTATGATGAGAACAGATAGAGTTTATGGGATTAGTAGGGTATCCATGACAAGAAAATAACTGTAAAGAAGAGAAATTTCAGGGTGGAGAAACTAAGGCTCACAACTGTCCTGGATGGACTGAAACGTCGCCCAATTTTCATTTCCAATGTTAGGTTTTATTGGAATTAAAGAAAGAGAAGGTAGTGAAACTTATTGTACATAGTAAAAAATGACTGAATAAATATACCGGCACACACACACACACACACACACACACACACACACAAACACACACACACACACACACACAATGATAATATGTACAAACAATACACAGGATAACATGTATGGACTATACACGAGATAATATGTAAGGACAATACACAGGATTGTGTATGGACAATACACAGGACAAATGTGTATGGATAATAGAGACAACACTGGGGGATGCTGTCAATAGAAGGTAACAACTTGATTGCCATGACTGACAACCTCGACTGTGTCAGCCCTGCCCTTCCACCTGACAAAAAAGTAATGGTACACAGGACACTTCAGTTTCATTAAACAAATTAGCTTTGTGTACCACGATCTTTTCATGTTCCCGGGATCACTGCCCCCCCCCTACGTCCCGGTCTCGGACAATCCTGCCAGAGTGCAAACATTTTAACACGTTTCTATTTTACACTCATTTAACAGGAGAGTAGTACCTCCACGGATGGCTGATGTCTATTAACCTACTACCATGGGTGAAGCTGGTCAATATATTATTCAAAATAAATTTTCAAAGCCGAGGCTAACAAACAAAAAAATTACACCGCATATAACATTCAAGCTGCCAACCTTGGTGCTGGTGAAGGCAGTGAATTGGGGGTACTCTTCCTTTCCTCGGATCCAACCTGATAGCCTCCCGTTCCCCAGGAGCTTTATGATCCCCAGGTTTAGCATTTCTCCGTGACTATAATAATGATAATAATAACAGAGCGAGGTCACTTGGCTCTCTAGTTGTGTCCCGGCACAATGTTCAGGGGTGTAGAGAATAGGCTACTCAAGATATATCTATATCAAATAGTATATAATTACCATTTTCTAGTAGATAAGGAACTATAGGTGTGATATATGTATATCAAGGACCTCATTACCATGCTATAAGTACACAAGGAGCTATAAATGTAATATATGTATACTGATAATCTTACTGCTACTGCGTAGCACTGGCCTCTTGATAGTCAGCACACAATAATATAAACCCTCAAGCCTCCTTAACTGGCATAAGGAACGAAGGAGACAGCAGCAGTAGCAATGTCAACTGTATGAACAGTGGTGACAGCAGCACCAGCCGTCACCACCACCAGCTGTCACAACTACTGCGTAAACAACAGCAGATATCACCTCCACTAAAGAACAGCAACCGCCGGAGCAAACAGCAGCAGTCACCACCACTGCGTCAACAGCAGCCATCAAAACAAGAGTAATCAGCAGCAGCCGTCAGAGTAAACAGTAGCATTCATCATCAGCAATCACCACTGTGTCAACAGCAACAGCTATCGTTGTGTAAAATACAGCAATCACTGTGTAAACAGCAGCAATAACTGTGCAAACAACAATCACTGTGTATAAAACAGCAATCACTGTGTAAACAGCAGCAGCTGTCACCACTGCACAAACAGCAGTATGTCGCCAGTGTGTAAACAGCAGCAGGTGTCAATATGTAAAGAGCCATCACCACTGTGTAGACAGCAACAGCTATCACCACTGTGGACAGCAGCAGCCATCACCACTATATAGACAGCAGCAGCTGTCACCACTGTAGACAGCAGTAGCTGTCACCACTGTAGACAGCAGCAGCTGTCACCACTGTAGACAGCAGCAGCTGTCACCACTGTATTATTATTATTATAATCAAGGGGAAGCGCTAAACCCGGAGGATTATACAGCGCGTGGGGGGGGGATGTGGAAGGCATTCAGGCTTAATTCGGGGAACCGGAGCACAGATCCAATTTCCTAAATCAAGAGCCCCTCACCAACATCAAGGAACCTTCCTTGAGGGGTGTCACCACTGTAGACAGCAGCAGCTGTCACCACTGTAGACAGCAGCAGCTGTCACCACTGTAGACAGCAGCAGCTGTCACCAACACTTGAGGGGGTTAAAAATATAGTTTTGTTTACATTATTTATATTTCATTTGTACTTAGAAATTAAAGTTGTATATTTGTACAAAACTTGCATTAGATGCTTGTATTTA